TCATGAGGTTTGTCCATCATCCATGATCTGGATAGTCATGATGCAACTGGCTCTGTCAAGCTCATGAATATCAATCAGCATCAAGTAGAATCGGGGAACCCTGCAGTTGTCCAAGGGCATGACGAGTTTTCCAAAGAGACACGCATCCTTTTTCAAATGGTAGTTTCCCTAAATAGGGGGACCCCAATATAGACCCAAAATACTATACCCCTTTTAAGCACTCCCAAAATAGTACCCCTAATTTTGGGAAACCTCCAAATCTCGATCTGAACTCGATCCAAGGAGGAACTGAACGACTTTGCAAAGGGCAAGGGCTTTGACTTGCCCGTCCGCGCTGCAGCAAAGGTCATCTTTGAGCCGCCTTTTCGCCTTTGAATCCAAAAAGCACAGAAGGCGCAGAGTGATTTTTCGCATCTCTTTGCGGAGGGAGGCCAGCACCAGGGAGGCAGGACTTACAGTAAGAGAGGTTTGTGTGAGGAGTGATTGCCCATAATCGTCATTCTGTAACTTTCCCAAGTTCACAACATGAGCCATGTCTTGCAAAAAGGCGGACGCATGAACTGAAGTCGCAGTGTTGGAAGTCCAAGATGCAAGGTCGAGATCAAAAGAACATTGAGTTCAACTTGCACAAAAGGCTGCATGTGCATCCACGAGAGCTGAGCGCAGCGCTTTGGCTTAAGCTTGACTCGGAAGCATGAAGCGGCATTTCCACAAGTCTTAGCAGTTGTCGCTGACATACCTCTGATGTTCTCTGCTCTCAGCGTCCATGGCATCTGAAAGCACAAAAGCTGCATATCCGAGCCTTGGACGAGCTGCGGCGGACTTGAATCGAAAAAAATGTGGGGGTCCATGCTGGTCAAGTTTCGTAATGATGGGAAGGGAGGTCAGAGGCTTGATTTACTGACGGAGCCATGGGGGGTTCACGAAAGCAGCCACAGCCTATCATCGCCCTCGTGCTTTTTTGCTGGGGTCAGGGCCTTCCATTCTCCTGCAACAAGAGCAACATGAACCAGAATCGCGATGCTGAAGTCCAAGCTGCAAGGTCAGGGATGTCGACGCAGTACAAATGTAGAGGTCATATGAGAGCATGCATTCAATCTGTGTGACGGAGATCGCAGCACGTTTGCTTGAGCTTGACTCGGAAGCACGCAGCTGTATCTACACACACCTTTGCATTCAGTGGCACATCTGGGATCTCCACAGCATCCACTGCATTTGAAAGCCGAGAAGCTGCAGCCTCTGCGGTCTTCTTTTGGAGCATAACTCCCTTGTCGAACAACTCGTTTTCGTGCATAGTGCAGTACCGGTGCATTGTGCACGACAACGATCTGTTTCAGATGCGAGTTTTGCTCGAAGCGAAGACCACAGAGGCTGCGGAAGTCTTTTACAGCATGCTAGGCCGAGCGCTTACAACAGCAGCTGCAAAGGCATGGCCAAGATGGCCCGCGTCTTGCATGGAAGACGCGGAGGCCGCTATTCCACGGCATGCAGCAGAAGCTCATAGTACACCAGTCGACATCGGAACCAACAATCTCAACAGGCAGGAACCGCGCTTTTTGTGCGCTCTCTTTGTCTACTGGGCCATGACCTCTGACAGTTCCAGGTGCACTGCGCTCATGCACTGCTTTGTGCCGTACATCATCCTGCTTCCGTTGATGGCAATACTCGCTGGCAAACGAAAGCAACTGTGAGTAGTCACTGGTACGTGCCAAATCCAGCAGGTCTGCGTCATCATCGTCTTCGTCGTTCAGCAACTCCACCTCGGCAACCGCAACCAGTTGATCCAACCTGCTGCGACAGCGAACGCAAGAGTACCACTCACGACATAAAGAATCGCAGAGCCGGCCGCAAAGAAAAGCTGCCAGAGACAAGCAAAACTGTCTGCAGACAGTGCTGCCAAGCAGGCCGTGGAGCAAGAAGAATCCTCCTCGCTAGATAAGCAAAGCAAGACCAAACGCAGAAGTGAGAGTAACCACCAGTAAGAGAAGCGGTCTTACATCTCGCGGGGCAGCTTTCAATGCTGCAGATGCAGACAGCTAAATGTTTCACGGGGACGTGGAAGGAGCTACTAGCGGAAATCAACAACCAGCTGCAGTGCTGATTACTAGTTTCTGGTTCTAGCTAAGGCCAGCGCATGCGCCAATGCAAGTTCAGATGTCACAGGATTGTTGCAGGCTAGATAGGGGTTCTTGTCAAACAACAAGGACGTGTCTCGCATCTGATCCTACGCAGCCGTTTCAAGTACCGAAACGGATCCTTCCGTCGGCTGTCAACATATCTGCGTCCAACCGCTTCCTGTTCGCAGATTTTGAAGTGCCCTAAACCCTATATAACCCCATTATAGTAGTTTCCATTTTCTTTGCCATTATCTATACCCCATATTCTATCTACTTCAGAGAGATAGGTAGGTTATGAGTTGTGGACGCGGTCTTGCCATGACTTGTGATTTGCAGGGAAGATAGGAAGGGAACATAGGGCTATATGGACGGACTACTATAAGGATCAAGTCCCGCATGTCCAAACCCTGAACCCAATGCCCTAAACCTCAAACACTAAGCCCTAAACCCTGAACCTAAACCTTAAACGGGTAATGAAGGGAGGGAGGGGCTCCCTTCTTTGCACGATTTTGGGGCAAACCCCGCAATGCAGGGAGGGAACAGAACCTGTCAGTAGGACGAGGCTTAGCAATTCTGCGGAAAGCGTGATTTGCACATTCGCATGAGATTATGAGGGGGTACATAAGCATATTGAAAACTAATTTTAGAGGTGTAGGGGGTGGAGGGACAGTACTCCTAATAATGGAGAGTAAGCTGGAACATCAAATGGAAATGAAATAGAAACTGGAGGACTGTTTGGGTCAAAATTCCTCTTCCCAACACGGCCACTATTGAAAATACCTTACCCCATGTATTCCCTTAGAAATCTACTTACAGGATGCTTAAACGATTTCTTCCCGGACCTGTACATCAACCCCCATCTTGCATCCCTTAGCCCTAAACCTAAACTCTAAAACCTAAACCCGCTACTGGGTTGCTGTTAAGGAACTTAAATTAAGTTACCATAATGGGGATATACATAGTAAATAATAGGGTTTCCCCAATATAGTAACTTAATTTAAGTTCCTTAACAACAACCCAGACTAAGGCCTTGCATGTGCAGACTGGTTGGTGTGACATATCTCCTGGTACTGGGGGCAGCTGCCACTGCGATTGATGAGAAGATCGAGCCAGCGTTGCTTGGCCCCCAAAATTTATCATGGCTACGATCCTTATGTTAGTACTACTGTTCTGAGAATATGATCATATTGAAAACAGCCTGGGTTTTGAAGCATCCGCATTCAAGCGCAACTTGGATTTGAATTTTTTGGGGCCCCGTCAGTCTCTGGAACTGCCAGTGACAGAATGCTGGCTCCTCGCTCCAAAACCAGATTCCAACAATCTTCAGCCTCCACATTACTCGGACCCGTAGACCCTGAACCCCCCTAATACCTAAAGCCTGAGCCCTAAACCCCAGTCCCGGAACTCTAAACCCTAAACCTTAAATTCAATACAATTTCCATAAACCCTAAACCCCAAACCCTGAACTCCAAACCCTAAACCCTCAACCCCTAAACCCTAAACCCCTAAACCCTAAACCCCAACTGAATTCCCAGCGCTGAAGCGTGAGGCCCAGGCCAACAGAAGTAAAGCGACATCAGAGCTGCTTACTTGCACTCCCTGTGGGTTAGGGTTGAGGGTTCAAGGTTTAGGGTTGATGAGGAAGGGTTCAGGGTTTGGGGCGTAGGATTTAGGGTTAGGGTTTGAGGGCTACCAATTTCAACCAAACAATGCGTTCTTCTTTGCTATAATAACTTAATTCAGCCCCTGTAAACAAGGGGGTTCCAGTCTAGACCGCCAAATTTGAATGCACCACTACAAACCCTAAATCCTAAACACCCTGAGAGGCGTCGCAGAAAAAACACCCTGAGATCATTTGAGATCTTGGGGCTCTGGCGAACCCGGCTTTCTCCCATAAAGGAATTGACATGGTCTTTTCAAAATGAAACCTAATTCGTAATCCCACAAAGTCTGTAGTCCCCCTTAAGGAGATAGAACATGGGTTTGGGTATATCAAAAAAAAGATCCCCACATACCCCAGGTTCTATCTACTTAAGGGGGACTACAAACCCCAAACCCTTTCTTGGTGTTGAATATCTAAGGTCCTAACCATGGGTCGTAACATGCTTCCCTACTTGCTTTCTGGGTCCTAACT